AGGAATGCCCGCAGCTGCACTCGTGCTTTCTTCCAGCCATCCTGAGAAAGAGCTGGGAGCCAAAGCCAGATGCGTGGGCTTGGTTCAGGGAGGTTAGAAGTGTTCAGCCCAGATGGTGTTCACCGCTGCCCTCCGTCATCGCTTGTGCTCTGAGAACAGGCTGCACAGGGGCTGCTCTGCAGGGAGCTGCTCTATGCAGCAAGGCAGGGAGCTGGGGGGCCACAGGGGTACAGGGTGTGGAGGGAGCATGGAGGCAGGAGGTGCATTGGAAAAGCAGTCATGCTGGTTCGATGGGGAGAGGTCAGGAAGTCAGCATCGTGTATCTACTTGTGTCCATGAACTGGTGAGAAGCATTTGGTAGAAACGAGGGAGCAGGGGACTGAACCTGTCAGGTCAACTACAAGTGAGAAAAGCAGCAGTCTCTGAAGTGTAATGTTGGTTCCCCCCAGGTGGTGTTGATAGTGGTGGTGAATAGATTCATTGTGGACATGGAGCTCCTCAGGGAGTAGCTTTGCTTTGTGTTAAGCAGTGTTTTTATCATGGCCATGCACAGAAGATTAAGGAAGATGCCTTTGGGTACAGAGACAATAGAAACTTACTGCCTTGTGATCACTGCACTCTCACTTCTTCTTTCTGATAAACAGGAAGGGAGGTTGTTGGCCCAGAATTAACAAAGACCTGGATGATTCTGACACATCTACTTAAAAAGTCCCTTGGGTGCATTGTACACAGATACCACTGCTGTTGTCTGTGGAAATCTGAGCCACAGAGATGTGCAAGCTGGGGGTGTCTCCTCTTCTCAAGGCACCCTTATTGGTTAGTGTCATGCTGGAGCCAGATGGGCTTTTGGTCTGACCTGATGTGGCTTGTGTTTGTCGTGATTATCATTGCCTGTGTTGCTTCTGAGCGTGCAGGCTCCCATCGAGTCTGGGAGCTGTGGCAGAAACTGAGGAGAACATGTAGAATTGCATGGGAGTATTGCAGGGGTGTTCCTTTGTCTCTTCCCCATGTACTGCTCCTAAGATATGTCTTTTCTTCTGTGTCTGTGCTGCAGGAAAATGGGAATGCCCGTGGCATCAATGTGATATGTGTGGTAAGGAAGCAGCTTCCTTCTGCGAGATGTGCCCCAGGTCCTTCTGCAAGCAGCACCGGGAAGGCATGCTCTTCATCTCCAAGCTGGATGGACGTTTATCCTGCACAGAGCATGATCCCTGTGGGCCTCACCCTCTAGAGCCAGGAGAAATTCGTGAGTATGTGCCTCCCATAGAAGACCTGGCTAATGGCGAGGACACGCAGCCACCAGAGCAGCCGCCTGCAGACACAGACCTGAGCGTTCAGCCTCTGGACAGCCTACCTCAGTCTGTGGCTCTCAGACTGCAGTCGCCAGAAAAGCCCCCGGCTACCCTGGCGCTGAGGCTGCCACCATCAGACAAGTCCCCCACCACCCTAGCCCTGAGGTTGCAGCCGTCAAACAAGCCCCCTACCACCCTGGCCCTCAAGCTGCCTCCACCAGACAAACCACCCGCCACCCTGGCACTGAGACTGCCACCGTCAAATAAACCCCCCACCACCTTGTCACTGAGGCTGAAGCCATCCAACAAACCCCCCACCACCCTCTCCCTCCGGCTGAAGCCTTCCGACAACAAACCTCCCACCACCCTATCGCTCCGCCTGCAGCCATCGGACAAGCCCCAGGCTGCCCTGTCCCTAAGGCTGCAGTCGGAGAAGCAACCCGTCATCTTAGCGCTGAAGCCTCAGGAGCCTGACAAACCTCCCACTAACGCAGTGCTGTGGCCACTGGATGAGTCCTCCAGTGATGCCTCACAGCCTCAGCTGCCAAGCAAATCTCCTCCGGGAACCCCGCAGTCGTCGGACGAGTCGCTTGATACTGCTGGTCCCCTGCAGCTCCAGCTGTCGGATGAGCCTTCTGCCGCCCCTGAGGTGCTTGAGTTATCAGACGAGTCTCTCATTGACACCAGGACCCAGCAGCCTGAGCTGCTGGATGAGTTCCCAACGAAATGCCTGCATCCTCAACTGTCGGACAGACTTCTTGCCACGGAGGATGAGCCTCCTGAGGCCGATCAGCCTCAGCTGTTGGACAGAGCTTCTACCCAAAGTCCACAGCTTCAGTCTGTGGAAAAGGCTTCCAGCTCCGTGGTGCCACAGGTCCCAGCATTGGAGATTACTCCCATTCCTGGGGTGCTGTGGCCTCTGCACACTGAGAATGTCCCTGGCTCCCCAGTCTCACAGATCCTGCCCACGGAGAAGGCTCCTGGACGGGCTGTGCCACGGCCCCCACCTCCAGAGAAGGCTTCTTTCTCTGGAGCAGCACGGGTCCCAGGCATGGAGAATGCTCCCAGCTGTGGGGCACCCTGTCCCCTGCTTCCGGAGAAGGCTCCTGCCTCAGGGATGCCACGGGTCCTGCCCACAGAGAAGGCTCCCAGCTCAGGGGTGGCACGGCCCCTGCCTCCAGAGAAGGCTGCTGGCTCCCAGTCACCACACGTCCCACCCATGGAGAAGGCTCTCGGCTCGGGGGCCCTACGGATCCCACTCACACAGAAAGCTCTCACCCCTGGGGTACTGCGGCCCCTGCCTCCGGTGAAGGCTGCTGACTCCGCGGCCCTTTGGGCCCTGCCTCCGGAGAAGGCCCTTGGCTCTGGGATGGCTCGGCCTCAGTTCTTGGAGAGGCCTCTTACTCTTACGGCCCCGTGGCCTCCGGTGTCGGACTGCTGTGGCTCCTCGGCCTCAAGGCTTGGACAAGCCTCCGGCTGCATCAGCTCCAAGGCTGTTGCTGTCGGAGAAGGCGCTGCGGCCTGTCGACCAGAACGCGCAGCTGAAGGAGAGAGGAGCCCCGGCCGTGGAGCTGAGTCCCCAGCAGAAAGAGAGGACCATGTTAGCTGGTGAGCAAATCTCTTGGTCTGCTGGGAAGGTGGTGACGCATGTCGGACAGGTACCTTGGCCTGTGGAGAAACTACAGACGCATGAGCAAACCCACTGGCCCAGTGCAAAAGCCCTGACACCCGCAGAGCAGCCTCCCCGGACCGCAGAGAAGCTACCAGAGCCAACCCTTCAACCCATCTGGGAAGTGGCCTCAGCCCCTGCAGAGCAAACCCCTTGGACATCAGAGAGATTGCGTGCGTTTGAGCAGACCCCTCGGCCGGCCAGGGAAGCACCGCTGCCCCCAGAGCAGACGCAGTGGCTTGTCATGAACGTTCAGACAATTGACCAGATTACTTGGCTGAATGGAAAAGCACAGACTCCTCGGGGGCAGGACCCTTTGCCTGAACAAAACGCAGCGCTAGCCCGTAACCAGGATTCTGTCTGTCATGAGTTGGCTGACTCAGAGCCAAAGTGAGGTTGGTGAATATGGGAGGCAGGTTTCAGTCTTTTAATGTTTAGGGAGGGGGAATCTTTGTTTTGTTTTTTTTATTCACTTCCCTGAGCCCAGCCCCTAACCCATGCACATCCCATCCGTATTCTCTCATGACACGAGCAAGGACATTCACTTCTCAGTGTGGCCCAGCCGAAGGGAGAGAGCATCCATGACCTTTTCCTCTTCCTTTCACAAATGGTAAAGCTGAAATAAAGAGTCCACTCTGGGTAAAAACCTCCAATTCCATTGAAATGGTCACATTACTGGTCCAGCGTGTTCGAGCTTCAGGTCTGATTCGTAGGCGGGTTCCCAGGTACAGCTATAGGGGCCTTGCTCTTGTTACTGTGTGTAGAGGAAGCAGATCAGTCAGGCTGCCCTGGGACTGGAGGTGTTTCGAGGATCGGGCAGTGAGCAGTCAGGTGTACACCCTTGCTGGACTCTGTAGGAGCAGGGAAGGGGTTTATCTGTTGTCTGCCCGGGTCTCTGTCCCTGCAGGGTGTTGCTTTGCGAGGTTTGTCCGTGCATCGCTGGGACGTGCTGCGTGCGTGGTTCACTGAAGGACAGGCGGCGGCTGCAGCTGAGCTGGGACAGGAGCCTGCTGCACTCGCTCAGTGCAGGTTTCTCCAGCAATAGGCAATATCCATTCAGGCTCCTTTGTACAAAGCTGCGACTGGCCAGGCCCGAGAAACAGGGCATCTGAAGGAGGTCAGGGAAAAGAGAGATCTTGGAAGAAGCCATCAGGCTTTTTTTTTCATTCTTGTGTCTTAGTCCTTTAGCACAGGATCCGCAGAAAGTTTCCTGCACTTGAAAACATTGTGACCTGTGAAGCAGCAATAGCGGGGTAGGGCAGAGTGGATTTCCCCACGGTGCTGAGCACTGCCCTGGCAGGGTGGTGGTGCTCCCTTTCAAATTTCTCCAGTCTCTTCTTGACTTCTGTGTCACCGTGAGCTAGCCGACCTAGCAGTCTTTTCTCCCCTTGCCTCAGACTTGTTCAGGACACATTCACATCATACCTGGTCTTCCTGGCAGCGGGACGCACTGCCGAGCTGCAGGTGAAGCCTGTGCCGTTGGCTACGCAGCACGGAGGCAAGGGTGCCGTAGCTGTATCAGGACCCATCTCGACACCTTCCCCTTCGGTAGCTTCTGGCTTAACTCTTCTACAACCAAAGGAGACTTGAATTAACTGGACTGTGTTGGTGTGCATGTGTGCGCGCGTGTGTTTGTCCTTCCAACTGAATAGTAGTTCTCACACTGGAACACGGCTCCAGCAGCTGGCTGGCTTGCTTTCCCCCTCTTCTCCCTCTCCAGTTAAGGAGGTGTTGAGTACCTGGCAGTCATCAGGCTGGTGTCCAGACCAGGCCTGCTGAAAGCCATTTACACAGACATTGAGACAGGAGTTCACTTGGCCATGGTACTCGTGGGGCAAGCACTGGAGTCCCAGGGACCCACAGAGCAGCGTCCTGCGACCACAGGCCCCATGGGCGGTTCTGCTCGGGCTGGATGGGGTCAGTGTCCTGCCAAGGAAGCGCTGCTGACTAGCACACTCCCACTCTCACAACACATTACCTCTGGTTTGTCTGAGCTCCGTGATCTGGGTGCTGCAGCCTCGCATCCCTGTGCCCACCACGAGACCCTCGTACAGCTCCAATGTCTCCTCCTTCCAGGCAGATCCACAGGTCCCTCCCTGGAAATGGAGTGTTCAGCTCCCCACAGACCCTCTCCCTTCGACATGGGAGCAGGTCCTTGGTCCTTGTTCCCACCTGGCTCGCAAGTGCCTGCTGCTTCCAGAGCAGACAGGAGAGCTTTGCAGTTTTCTATGAAGGGAGGCAGACACTTGTACTGAGACAAATCCCGATCCCTTCTCCTTTCCTGATGTTGGCACCCCAAGACAACGTCCTGCTGTAAAGGCCAAGGTGTGCTGGGCACGAGGGGACGTTACCAGTGCAGTGGTGCACCTCTTCTCTAGTCCAAATCATTTCAGATCCTTTGTAGAACAGCTCGCGACTTCAAAAAGCTTTGTGGCTTATGGAAACTTACTGTTTAATGTGTTTTTTTCCGGGAAGACTGGCAGGTCAGTTCCTGCTTGCTGCTGAAACTGGGGAAATGCAAGCAGCTTGTGTTTCTGTGTGACTCCTGCACAAAGGGAATCAGGACAACTCCTCAGAGCCGTTGAGAGAGAAGATTATCTAAGGGCATTTATTAACTTTTTTAAACAATTTTAAAAAAATGGTAATGAGGTTCAGTATATTAAGTATTTATCATGTGTGAGAAGGAAAATAAATCTTAAAATTACATTTATAGGCCTTCCCATGAGCTGGACTTAGTCATGTAGATTGTGTAAGTAGGGTTTCCTCCGCGCCAGCCGCCCAGCCAGCTACAGCCGTAACCAGAAAGGTGTCTGCACTGCGCTGTCCACCTCTGCTTCGCATTGTCACGTGTGAACTAGTTACTTGTTTCATGAAAAATAAACTGTGAATATATTTGGTGCAGGCTTTTTTAAATCTGTAAAATGGAGAAGTTCTCGATGAATTCTCGTCAGTGCAGGTTTGAAAAAAATCACTTCTGTAAGTCGTGTGCTCTCATAGTAGGGTGAGGTTCATGGCAGCAGCCACCTTTCACGCAGCAGGCTCTTGGCCAAAAGCTTGTTTTGAGCAGTGATCGTGGATTGAACCGTTGCATGGCATTTCCAACCCACAGCCTTATTCCTTGCATCTGACTGTACCCCGCCTCTCTTCTTGTCTCCCTTCTTGCCTTTTCCGCTAGGATCCAGGTTTCTGCCTTGCTGCCTTCCAGCTACTGTCGGGAAGTTGGCTTCAACATAGCTGGGAGACTGTTCAGTAAAATTTGTGTTTGCAAACGTCTCTGAAGGAGGAAGCCAGCACGCTGCTCGTCCCTCCTCGCCATCGTTGGGCCCCTGGGTGATGCTCTGTCAGATCAGGAGGGCTTTTCGGAGGTATGCAGGGCTTGCAGAGGCAGCGGTGCTGTTAGGAATGGGTGTCTGTGCTGGGTCAGCTCAGCAAGATGGGCACGGTCTCACCAGGTGCGGAGATAGGTCCCAGCAGCCCTGCACTGCCCAAGCTGCCTCCCTTGGCAGGACCATGAGTATGGGCTGAGAAGCAGCTCCGGGCAACACAACCCTTGCAAAGGAAGTGGCTTCTGCAGCACTCGGGGTGACTGTCGCTGTTGGTGTCAGCTGGTAGCACTGCCTTGGAGGAGAGGGAGATGTCTGTACTAAAGTAGTTTGGTTCATTTTCTGCAGTTCACTGCTGCCTTCAGAGTTCAGCCAGTTCTAATCACTGGGATTTTTAAGGTAGAGGAAAGCGGCAGATAACACATCCCTGGCAGATGCTCCTTTAGGAGAGAGACTGCTGCAGCTCTGCTCTGGGCACAGCCAGCTTTGCTGAGCTCCGTGGCCAAGGCCTCAGCACCTTCTTGCTGTGTTGGAGGGATCCCATCACCTGGCCACTGAGTCCTGGGTCAGACACGACTGCATCTGAGATGGGCGAGAGGTGACATGTGTAGATTCACCACTGCAGAGCTGCAGAAGCAGAATCGAGGGTGTCATTACTTCTGCTCAGAGCTGTGTTCCTTTCCCTGCTGTCACAGGGAGGCTCACAGGATCTTTCCAGGTTCGTGAGCCCACTCCTACTTGTAGCAGTGTCTCCCCCTTCCCAGTTCTGATGGGAATGAAGGATTTTCTCCCCTACAAATGCTCATCACGAGCCTTGCTGTTACGACGGATGGACTGCCCCTGCTCAGAGCAGTGGGCTGCAGTCACCGGCTGTGGCCTCCGTCCCATGGCAAGACCCCCTGCAGTGGTGGGCTTCATAGTGGGCAGGAGAGCCCCAGTTGTATGGTGATGGAGGAGCTCTGGTGAGGGGTGATGGTGTGGGCAGGGGATGAGGATCGCAGAGGAGCAGCCACCGCAGGGCCTGTGGATGCGTGGGCATGGGAGTGGACGGACAGTCCCCTCCTGCACGTCTTCACATGCTCACTGGGTCACGGTAGCTTGCTTTATTGCTGTTCTCCAGTTAAAACTTCTCCTATTGAACAAAAAAACCCCAAGAACCAGAATAATTGCAATGCACAGAGTATCCAGGTGGTACCATGGGAGCATGCGTTATAATTCAGGGTTAACCCCCCCCACGGGCACAGGCTTTGCTTTGACGGAGTGGTAGGTTTTAAAATGCAGGAGATGAGAGAAATGGTTGACTCTAAAGGACAGGCGATGCAGATTTGGGGTGCTAGAAGAGCTTCAGCTTAGCGTGAGCAAAAAGGAAGAAAAAGCAACCCTAACCTGGTGCATCTCGGCAGCGGTTTACCCTGAGTGTGCCATGGACGTGCGCTGCTCCCACCTGGGCACTGCGGCCAGCGTTGCGACAGGGCAGGGGGAGTTTGGGAAACCTCAGACCCTCAACACCTTCTGTTGATTTTTAATTTCAGCCTTAACTTCTGGTTTTTGCTTGACGTTTGGAATAACCGTAAATTGTAACCTGCTTGTATGTGCTTTGCCCTAAATTACTGATGAGGCTTTCGGCCTTTGCCAGCCAGCGAGCGTTAAAGCAAAGTGGCAAACCGTGCAGCTACTCTGAGATTACGGGAGAAGCCAGCACAAGTGTTCGGCTGCCCAGGCTTTGTCTGTGCTAATCACCCTCTTGTAAAAGCGATAACGCCGGTGGCAGCGTTGGCAGCCGAGGCTGCGCTCTTGCAGCAGCACAGCCGGGCTGATGGGTGCTGGGGGCTCCCCAGGCCTGAGAGATGGGGTGCTGGGGCTTGGGGACTGCTCCGCTGCTTGCCCGGCTGAAGTGTGAGTCTCGCCTGCGGGGTGGCAGTGCCCTCGCTTCGCAGGAGGTGGGAAAAGGCAACATTTAGAATCATAGAATGTATTGGGTTGGAAGGGACTTTTAAAGATCATCCAGTCCAACTCCCATCTAGTTCTGCTCCTGGACCTCCAAAAGCGACCTAAGCCAAGGCCAGTGCGGGGGGACAGCGTGCGTGAGCTTGGACCGGAAAAGTGGCGGTGATGGACAGTCCCTACAGCACTGAATCTACCTCCTAGGGAAATCTGAGAAATGGGTGTTGCTGTGTCCTATTTCAAGGTAAAGTTTTAATCAGTTTGCCCTTGGCGAAGCACTTGGGCTATTGTGGTGCTATTGTAAACCGTTCGGCAGCTTAGCACAGTAGGACCGGACTCACGACTCCCAGCCCCACGGCTGGAGGTTTCCTCACCAGCTAAATCCTGTCCCGATAGCTGGGGCTGGGCTTCAGCGCGCGTGAGGGAGCCAGGACGAGGCGTGACTTGGTTCCTTCGGTTTGTGATGGTTTTGAGACTCAAACCAGCGTGCCAGTGGGCCCCGTGGGCATAGGGAGCGAGTGGAGCCACGTGAAGCAAGGCAGGCATCTGCTAACTGCATGTTCTTTGTGTCCGTTTGGTACTGAGCTGGTTTCAGTTTTTGTTTTGTTTTCCTTTTTTTTTTTTTCCCTGATGTTTCTGAGTTGTTGACTTCAAGGAACTGGGTTTTGTGTATTTTTTTTAGACACTGGGAACTTACTAAAAAGAAAAGCAGCAGCACCGAGAGGCTCGAGGTGGAGCGTGGCTGGGCTGAGGGCAGCCGCGGGTGGGAGGTCGGATGCGCGGGCAGC